GATCCAGATATCCTGACAGTATCGCTTGCTACAGTCGTGAGAGACGCTGCGGGCTTTTATCTGCGCTGTATTCAAGCCGGTGAGACTGGCTGTAAAGGCTATATTCTTTTGCGCTTACTCGATGCGTGGGCTGATGCAACGACTCGCGGAGTGGATAGATCCGAGCTTCCCGCGTTACTTGTACAAGAAGCGGAACAAGCCACGGAAGTTTGCATACCGATTTTGGAGGTGCTAGCTGGCGTACAACAGCCGTCCACCGGCACTGCTGGGGCTCTTGGGGCGGACGGAATGGGAGGCTTAGGGAACTACGATTTCGAACCTTCACCTGAGTTCATGGAGGATTGGGACATGCTAATGTCGGACACGTTCAAATTAGGCGATGCGGACAATTTCGATGGGTTCCTGTTGTAGTCAACTACACCTGTGCGCGCAATGTCGAAGTTGGAGTCCTCGTATTATCGGGTATTTCTCCGATCGATTGTGAAGAGGTATTCGACACGCATTGAGACGATCAAATTGCGATCTGAATCGGCGAAGCCAAAACGAGGTACGGGTGCTCTGATCAAGTAGTAGTAGTTTCGCAACATGACGGCTCTGACGTTCCCGGTGGAGAATAGTGGCGAGGCTGGGCCATGGACGTCTTCGCTTAGCCCCTGCGCATGAATTGGCCAGGGCGCGGCATACCAATCAGCCGCGATCCCAAACCACTCTCCCAACACCCTATCATCGCCCTGTACCTCTCTTCCGCCAAGATGCCAGCCTCAACAGGCAAACTCAGGAGAACAACGCCATGGCGTCTTGAGAAAAGATTGGTGTTGGCCGTGATGACGATGAGCTGCAATATCGCGTCAATACACTACAAAGCGGACTAGCGCCGACAGCGGCGCCTTAGAGGCTCCTTGTAACCTGACACACGGAGAGCCTCATAATCACCCCTCATCCGGCAATACGTGTCGCATCGCAGTCTGAATGACAGCCATCAGGGCCGTTACCTCTTCATATATCACCTGGAAGTGGCCTGATTTTTCTTCTCGCCCTTGTCGCCTCTCTACACAACTCTTGGTAACCTCAGGCAGTGGAACCCAAGACAACTACAACGCTCTTTTTTCCTTTCGTTCGTCATTCACTTCTTCGAGCGTGCCGGTCACCTGTTTTGATTACGTTTATAATACCTGTTATTCCATTCCCTACCATATTCTTAGAACGACAAAAAACATCATCATCCGAGAAAGATATACCGCCCACGATGCAGATTTCGCTTCTTACCAACATCTTCCTGGCCCTCTCGGTCTTGCAGCTCGCAGCCTGTGCACCGGAGCCTAAGAACTTCCTTCCGCTTCCGGGTACCGCAAACACGAAATTAGAAGTTCGACAAGTCTCCGCCACACCCTCTCAGGCAGAGCTATGTCTCGACTACCAGACCACAGCCAACATGTCGACGATTGGCGCCAATAGCTCATACCGCACCGTCATCTTGCAAAGAGCACCCGTCGGTACCCTCGTCAGCGCGGGAATGCTGAATGCGGCCATGGCTAAGCTGCCCGCCCTCACGGCTGATCCCGATCTCAACCTACGGTGTGGAAACTGGACTGAAATCGCGGTTGTCGAGGCGGCAAAGAACTTTTCAATGGGCATTGTCGCGCAATACGAGACTGCGGGCCTGCCAGTCGGTATCAAAGCTGGACCAGAGGTTCTCATCATCGTTGGTGTTATTGCCATGCTCTTCTCAGTTGTTTGGGTCTTCCCTGGTTAAATGGGAAGCTTGGCTTGGAGTTGTATGATAAGGTTGAGGGTTGAGGGCCGGATAAGAGAGAGGTTATTGGGGGCTGCTGTAGGATATGCGTGGAGGTGTTGCAGGAGGGGGCAAGGAAATCAAGTCGAGAATACCCGAACGTGCTTACTACAATCAATTACTACGCTTTCATGTTCGCATGATATGAGCCTTTTATTCCACAATATATTTCCTTTTTCCTTCACCCACCTCTTCAACTGATACCGTTGCAACTCGCTGTTCAACATCGTGTTGGAGCCCCACTTACCATAACGAGCAAATTTCCCAAGCCGCTAACATCGCAAGGATGTGTTCTCCGGGACAAGAGGCCAAGTTGATTGAGAAAATGCTTAGGTTCGGATACTGAATAATTGACAACATGTATTGGCAGAACTGGAGATGGAAGACTGACGATGCCAATGGTGACAATGACCGCTACTTCCAAGGTGGTTGGGGCTACCGGCCGTTTTGCAGCGGTAACCGGGATCCAAGAAATGCTGCAGGGACACGCGAGATGTTTGTACACGTCGCCATTTCCTAAGCTCCTAGTTCTGATTCGTTTGCGAGACGCACCGCCTCCCCATTCAACAAAAGCACATCCCGCCGATCAATCACACAAACCCCCATTGATAATCTCCCGTCTGTCGTTACACAAAGCCACACAAGTATACCCCGATCTACTTACGTCATCCCCACCCGCCGATCAGGAACGCCGTTCTACCTACTCCAGAAAATTCCTCGACCATGGCCTCCACGGGCAACATAAGCAGATATCTCCGCGTATCGGCATATTGCTTTTTATGCAACCGGCCCTTCTCGACAGACCACGCGCCCGTCGCCATACGGGCGTGCGGCCACATCTTCGGATACCGCTGCCTGTCCATCACTCTCAACGGCGGCGACGTCGACGTAAAAGCCACATGGTCCGACGTGTCGATGCTGGCGCCCAAAGGCGCAAAGTGCCCCGAATGCAAAGTCCCCATCACGCACATTGAAAGCGAGCAAAAAGCGCTATCAATACTCCGCGACATCAGCAGCGACGCCCCGGACCAACGCAACAGGCTACATGCGTTTGTCGAGCAGCTGCGGGAAAGCGTGGCAAAGGAAGACCCGGATGTGGAGCCAAAGGACTATATGCAGTTTTTTCGCAGATGCTATACTAGTGACGGCGACGATATTTTGCAGAAGGCGCTGCAGGATGCGGCGAGTGCGGGGGATTACTTTTCACCGTTCCACGATGCGATTACCGCGTCGAGGGCGAGTGATCCGCAACCTATGGGTTTCGCGCTGCTGCGGCTGTGCTATTTGCTGTGGGATGCGCATCATGCGATGAGGCGGAAGAGTAGCGTGTCGATCAATGTGTTGCTGTGGGAGGGGAATCGGTGTCTGGGGGTTACTAATCCGTTGGTGCAGTGGGAGGATGTGGAGGAGGCGGCCGAGATGGAGGATACGAGACTTTTCCCGCTGCTGCATTGCTTTACTATGCTGGCTTCGCAGGCGCTGGCGAGGCAGAATCTGGTGGAGCCTTGGGTTGGGGAGGAGGGGGTGGGCTTGGCGAGGAAGTTTGCGTGCGAGTGTATTGGGCCGCATTTTGAGGGGGAGCCGGGGGATGTGTGGTTGGTGAAGTTGGGGGTCGTGGTTAATGAGTTGAAGAGGCATCAGTTTGAGATGGGGAGGAGGCCGTTGGCTGGGGGTTCGGCGGAGAGGAGTATTGTGAGGGGGTGGTGGGCGTTGGGAAATATGGAGGCTGAGAGTGAGGAATGAGACAGAGCGTAATACTACGACTACTGCTGGATATCTCCACTCATGCTAATCTTTATAACAAGAAGTAGGTCTTGAGTGACACCATCAGAAGGAATGTGGTCTTCAAAAGGTACATGTAATTGACCTAGGAGCTCATGCATACGAGCCGTATTTCTCACAAATCTTGATGTCCCAATTGCATAGTCTCAAAACCTATTCTGCAATCAGTGGTTCGTCAGATGCAGTGGTAGGTAGACGCGGAGTCGACACTCCCAGTCACGCCGCCAAGAAGTGGGTCAACCCAATTTCCGAATTCCGATCCGCTGTCGGAATTCAGACGGACATCCTGAATCCCGCCATCACCAGCCTTGCACTCTCCCATTTCACAATGTCGGTATCACTCCATTCACATCAGAGATCGCTTCCGCGTAACACGACCCGGAATTCATCATGGAGACTGATACCGTCCGAAAGACACCCGCGCCATACGGCCAAGCGTGTAGTAACTGCGTGAAGACGAAATGCCGATGTGTAGTACGGGAAGTCGGCGTCTGTGAAAGGTACGTCACTTTTATTAGAGTTATGTCGTAGTGTACTGTAAAGTATGTGTTGCGACATGTGTTGGATGTTTCGAGACTGAGTTTCGTATGACAGGTGTCATCGCCTCGGGAAGGAATGCACGCCCTCGTCGTCCTCACGGAAGCGAGGATCAAATGGGGCGTCAGCGTCCAAAAGAGCAAAACTAGAAGACAAGCTTGATGAAGTTGTGTCACTGCTCCGATCACAGCGGGCGTCAACAGCTACGGTCCCTTCAAATGATGCGTTTGGGCTGACCCCGGAGTCCTCCATTATCACCTCAAGAGCAGCAGACAGTCCGGCAGTCGAGGAACGCTTGACGGAGGCTCAGCTTATCGACTTTCGGATGAACTGCCTCGGATATATCCCTTTCATGCATCTACCTGAGAGCACTACTCCCGATGATCTTCAGGCTGACTACCCTTTACTTTGTCTGGCTATTCGGACTGCATGTACCAAAGCTCTCACCCGTCAAATGAAAATGAGCAGTCAGTTGCGAGAAACATTGGCGTCGAAGATCGTGGCTCATGGTGAAAGAAGTATGGACTTACTCTTCTGTGTCATCATGTGCATTGGATGGTAAGATTTCAATTTCCCGTAAATGCGTTGCGTCTGACATCATACAGGTCCAAATACTTTGCGCATAGGAAGCAGTTCCTGGGATCAACCTGTGGTCTTGCAAGGACGCTGATTAGCGATCTCCGCCTTGATAAGCCCAAAGAACCATCGGGATGTCCTAGCCTAGGCCCGTATGATAAAGGGACTGAGGAGGTCCGAGCAACTGAAGGGAACCGAGCATTACTTACCGTCTTCGCATTATGTACCAAGTGAGTGAAGTGTGATCCCCGGGTTAGCCTGTCTGACTGATCTCGATAGTGTTTCCAAAACCTTCGGGTACGACCTTATGCCCTGGTCTTCACAATGCGAAGAAGCATATGACCAACTCACCAAGAGCATTGAGTGTGAAGGTGACGTTGTGTTGGTTAGCTTAGCACGTCTGGCTAGGATTGCCGTTTGTGCTATGGAGGTGTATCGGAGAGCTTCAGAGGATTCCAATTTTGCTCAACATGCTACAATGGCTATTGAGCCTCTGAAGCTGGCTTTGCACAATCTTCGGACGTCATTCTCTCCGGTAATCCTGCAGCATCGTACGTCTTCCGTCTCCATTTTCTAGCGTGGACTCACGGACTTCTAGGCACTGTTATCGCTTCCACATTTACAGCTGAGGTTGCCATTTACGAGCTCGCTCTTCTACAATCACCCACACCACTCGTATCACCATCGTCAAATCCTCATTCTATCTTCGCACCCAGACGCGTAGAATACCTTCTTGCATGCCTAGAAACATGTAAAGCTTGTTGCGACTACACCCTCGCCGGGGATGTTCGAGACATCAGCGCAACATCAATGCTCATTTTCCCCTACTGCCTCAAAATCGCCTACAAACTCGCCGTACTCAAGGATGTCCCCGGATGGGATCCGGCGATTGCTACAGCGACGGTAGATACTGTACAATGCTTGGAGCAGATCGCCGTGATTGCTGAAAACGCCAACGCCAAGTACAAAGAGGAAACAGGAGAAGACAGCGTGTTTGGTGAAGCGGCGGTTATGCTAAGAGCAACAGCGCCGAACTGGAGAGTGCCTACAGTTGAGCAAGAGCAAACAGTAGGCGATGTATCTGCGCCGGCATGGAATTGCGATATTGGTGGAGACTTCTCGCTGACGGATTTCGCTGATGACTTTTGGCTATCTGGTCCTATGAACTTTTGAAATACACAAAAACCTCAAGACTGGATGTGAAGAAACTGGTGGAGACGTCGATGAGCGTCCAGCCACAGTTTGACACATTACCGAGGTTTGTGCGACTTGAAAATCAACAAGAAAGATAGAACATTTGTTCTGTGATAGTCTTCAAGGGCGGTTTGGCCTCATCTAGTCTCTTGGCATGTCGTACAGTGGATGCGACACATTCAACTCCGAAATCTGACCAGTCAACAGCGCCTCGGCGTATCGGTCATTCAGTAGCGATTCCGTATCATTGTCAACTGTTGCATTGGATCTCATTCATTCTTCAGCTAGCTTTTTGTTTCTCGTCTTCATTGCAACTCGTTCTTCTTTCGTTATAAATGGAAAAAAGATTACAACTCTCGACCCTGATCCGAGATTGAACACCTCAACAAAACTTTAAATTTTTGTCATAATCCATTGCACTTGGTCGAAAACGGGCACACTCGAAGAACCTCGCAAAACCATCAGCAGCCATGACCGTTACCATGAGCGTAAGCGCGAGTGATACAGCTCCCACAACGCAATACCTAACAGGCCTCAAACTATTTACCATCCTCGCAAGCCTCACACTAGTCACCTTCCTCGTCTTGTTAGACTCCTCAATCATCGGCACTGCAATACCCCGCATCACGACAGAATTTCACTCACTCCCAGATGTCGGATGGTACATTGGAGCCTACTCGCTGGCCACAGCAACTCTACAGCCGATGTCTGGGAAGTTGTACACATATTTCAGGAGCAAGGCCGTTTTCCTCTCTTTCGTCTTTATGTTCGAGCTTGGGTCTTTGATCTGCGCGGTGGCGAGATCGTCTGTGGTGCTTATTGTAGGAAGGGCGATTGCGGGATTGGGCGCTTCGGGTATCTATACTGGGGCGATGATTGTGCTTACAGGCGCTGTGCCCAGAGAGAAGAGTCCGTTTTATACGGGGATACTTTTTGGGACAAGTCAGATGGGGATTGTGCTTGGTCCGCTTATTGGTGGTGTTCTTACTGAACATGTCTCGTGGCGGTGGTGTAAGTGTGCTCATAAGTCCGATCTGATATCTGAAGTATGCTGACGATTGCTTTTGTGTAGGCTTCTGGATTAACCTACCAATTGGCGGTGTAGCGGCTGCTGTGATTTCTCTCATCCGCATCCCTGAGGTCATAACGAAGCCGCCATTCTCGATGGCGCTTGTTCAAAAGATCATCCCACATCTTGATTTGATCGGCTTTGCGCTCTTCGTCCCATGGTCCGTTATGCTCCTTCTTGCCCTCCAGCTGGGCAGCAGTGGCGCTTACTCATGGGACTCCCGAATGGTGATAGGCCTTTTCTGCGGCACAGGCGTATGCATCATATGTTTCGCTGTATGGGAGAAACATATGGGCGACCGAGCTATGGTGCCAGTTACGCTATTGCGCAGACGTTTCATATGGACTAGCTACGTGTACGGGTCATGCGTTACTACTTGTATGGCGACAGCTAGCAATTGGCTTCCGACGTACTTTCAGGCAGTTAAGGACAATGGCCCGACGGCCAGTGGTGTCTACGTACTTCCTAGTATTCTCAGCCAGATACTTCTGGTGGTTGTTACTGGCGCTGCGGGTAAGCATCAATCTTGTTGGAATGTATGTCCAGTGTCTGACTTTTCGCAGTTGAGCGCACGAGATACCATCTCCCCTTCGCATTCAGCGGTGGTGTCATCACAGCAATCGGCAACGGCCTCGTATCAACCTTCACCGCATCGACCAATACAGCGACATGGATTGGCTACCAGATAGTCATGGGCGGCGGTAGAGGCCTGTGTATGCAAATGGTAAGTCAGCGAAACCATCCTCATATCTATACCTCTTGACTGACGTTTCCAGGCCCTGGTAGTGGTACAAAACGCCGTTTCGCCCGCCGAATACCCCGTCGCGATAGCCTGCCTCATCTTCTTCCAATTCCTCGGTAGCTCCATTACCATCGTCATCGCAAACACTATTTTCGCGCAAACGCTCACAACCGCGATTCCTCGCTATGCGCCCTCGATATCGCCGCGCGCGGCACTGCGTGCTGGGTCTGGCGCTGGCGCTGTTCGTGCGCTAGTGCCGGCTGGACATGAGGGTGAGCTTAGCAGTTTACTGAGGGCGTATTCGGAGAGTTTGCGTAATGTGTTTTACTTTCTGGTGGGGGTGGCGTGTTTGGCTACGGTTGTGAGTTTGGGGATGGGCTTGAGAAAGGACAAAGAAGGAGAGAAGGCGACAGAGGTGTCGGATGAGGAGCGTGGGGAAGATGAGTCAATGGCCGAGGCACGTGGGTAAGAGAAGACAGCAAACGAAAGCTGAGGTATGCTGAGTCTGCGGCGCGACGAGGTACACGCGCACGCGCATTATTGCGATTGCGCTCATCACAAGACCAGGGTGCTGTCACACCAGACCCCAGGTAAACGCGGCTTCAGCACCGCTCGCCAATGCCAGCCATCAAAGCTACCAGGCAACAGAAGCCCGGTACAGACCGCCGTCGCTGCGTATATAAATACTCATCTTCTTCAACATTCCTCCTCTTCTACACCATGCACTACACATTAGAAAACTAAAACTAACCACCGCTGTATCTATGTTCTTCTGCGTTCCAAAACTACAGAACATCACAGGATGTTGTTTCCAGAGTCCTTTTTTTCCTAAAACCAGTAAATGAAGTGTGGGTGAGGTCCCGTTTTTCCCAAAAAGGACTTATTTTCCAAAATCATGAAACAAAACATGTATGGCTCTGTCTGCGTCTTGGCGAGATTTTTTAAATCAAAATTCCCAATGATGGAGAAGATGTTGGTGGTTTGCGGACTTTGTGCGTTGCTTGAAAATTTATCCAGAAAAAAGTAGGGGACCCACAGGCATGACGGAAAGCTTCTAGCTGTACTGGGTGTATAAAAGAAGACAATGGACACTTACCCCACGTTTATAAAATACAATGTCCGGACTTGAATATGTGTGTGGCAAAAAACGCAGAGGATACGCCGATGAGTGGGATTTCTGAAACTTCGGGGCTGGGTGTATAAATCTCCTCGTCTCTTCCTCCTCTTCTTCTTCTTTCCTTTATACAGAAACTCTGGGTCTGGGTTTATTAAAAATTCCTCGACGCCAATTGATGTTTTCTCCTTTCCTGAACAAAAAAGAAACTAAACTGGTGGATGACTTCTTTTTTCTGAAAATTTTTGAAATTCTCCCCATGTCTCTCTGCTCTCTTAAAATCGCCAAGTAGAGATGGATGGTCTGTCCGCCCCTCCCCGTCTCCCTGCGAAAATTTGAAAACTCTCAATCTCGGGACTATGCTTTTTTCTAAAATAGAAAGAATGGTGGAAGATGTGTTGTTGGCTTCCTCCCCTACGCTTTACGGACTAGTGCATGCAGTGGGGGGAATATAAAAAGCCTGTATTCGCGTGGACTCTTTCTTTACACTTCCACTAACATGATCCATGGGCGAGCGGCGCACACGGGCGAGCGGCGCACCCCACCAACTTTACTCACCTTACTGATCTTAATCTACAATGGCTCAACGCAGCGCTACTCAATTACTATCAAATGAAGCAGATATTCAGCTTGCTATCTCATCTATTAATGCGCACCAGATCCAAGGTACCCGTACTGCTGCAGTAGTCTACAACGTAGCCGAAACAACGCTCCGCCGCCGACGCGCTGGTATACCTGCCCGACGCGATTGCCCGCCCAACTCAAGGAAGCTTACCCAGAGAGAAGAGGAGGTGATTATTAGCTATATACTTCAGCTAGATCTGCGTGGATTTGCGCCTACCTACACAGCTGTACGTGATATGGCTGATAAGCTGCTGGCTGCGCGTGGTGGAGAGCAGGTTGGAGTCAACTGGCCATCTACCTTTGTTAAGCGTACAGACAGTCTTCGGACGTGTTTCAACCAAGCGTACGATAGGCAGAGAGCTCTTTGTGAGGATGCAACATTAATAAAGAGGTGGTTTAAGCTTATAGAAGAGACAAAGGCGAAGTACGGCATCTGCGATAAGGACGTCTACAACTTTAATAAAGCTAGCTTTATAATAGGCAAGATTATAACTTAGCTTATTGTAACAGCGTTAGAAAGGAGAAGCAGGCTAAAGGCTATCTAGCTAGGCAATTGTGAGTAGGTAACGTTGATCGCTGCGATCAACGCAGCCGGCTGGTTAGTCCTACCGTTCCTCATCTTCGCTGGCTAGTACCACCTATTAGCCTAGTATGAGGAAGCTAAGATCCCACGCGACTAGGCGATCGCAGTCAGCGACAATAGCTAGACGAATAATGAGCTTAGAGTTAAGTGGCTAAAGCACTTCAACGCTCACACGCAGGCTCGTAGTATAGACGCGCGTCGCCTGCTTATTATTAATAGCTATAAGAGCCACAAATCTCTAGAGTTCTAGGAGCTCTGCAAGGAGAACAATATCTATACGCTCTGTATGCCTCCTTACTCATCTCACCTACTCTAGCCACTTGATGTTGGCTGCTTCTCGCTATTAAAGCGCGCGTACAGCCGTGAGGTGGAGAGCCTCATGCGCAACCACATCAACCACATCACCAAGCTAGAGTTTCTGCCAGCGTTCAAGGCAGCATTTGATCAAGCGTTCACGCCAGCCAATATCTGCTCAGCCTTCCGCGGCGCAGGCCTTGTTCCTCTACAACCAGAGGCTGTTCTATCAAAGGTAGATGTACAACTGCGTGCACCTACTCCTCCAGCAGCTCTGCCAGAGGCTCCCTGGGTAGCTCAAACGCCGAGCAACGTACGTGAGCTTGAGGCTCAGTCAAGCCTAATACGTGAGCGCGTGCGCCAGCACAAGAGCTCATCACCAGCTTCAATTATTATGGCGATTGACCAGCTAAAGAAGGGCGCCGAGGTGATGATGCTCTCTGCTGAGCTGATGCGCGATCGGATCTCTAGTCTTGAGAAGGCCAACAGCGCAGCCTCAGAGCGTAGGCGGCGCTCTAAAAGGCGTATACAGAAGCATGGAGTACTCACAAAGGGAGCTGGAGAGGATATACTGGCTCAAAATGAGGCTGACCAGCAGATTGCTCATGAAGAGCGTCAAGGAGGAGCGCGATCAGGCCTTAGCCAGCGGGCTCAAAGGCGCTGCACTAGGTGCAAGGAGACTGGGCACAACTCGCGCACATGCAAGACTGATACTATTAATATAGAGTAATCTACTGTATTAATATCTAGCAATAATATTATCGCGTTGTTGAGATGCATCGCTTTAAAGTTGCAAAAGTTGGTGGGGTGCGCCGCTCGCCCGTGTGCGCCGCTCGCCCATGGATCATGTTATGTTTTCTTAAAATTCTATTAAAAACACTACAGGTGTGTTCAATGTCTGTTCCTTCTAAAATTTTCTGTGCCATTTTCATGAGACTGTGTGTGTTGATACGGCTAAGGTATCGGAATCACCTTCGTTGCAACGAGTTGAAATGATTGTGATTGTTCTTGTTGTTCTATGGAGGTGGAGGGAGGTCGGCAGTAAGGCAGCAGCTAGAGCTCGGACCACACGGCTTAGTCAGCCGTGTAATCCAAGCTCGTGCATGCAGCAACCAGCTGCCTTATCTACCGCAGGTTCGATTCCCAACAGTGTGAGCGCTGTGAGCATGCGCGGCACACATATTCAAAATTCTCGAAAGCTTTCCTAAAATACATATTTTCTCAAAAACGTTTGGATATTCTGAAATGAACACCTGGCAAACCCATGGCGCCGTTGCTGGTGCTCAGACTTGTCAACAATCAATCGATCGACATGATTGATTCCTATATAGGTTAAAGAATTACTTCATTAGGTAGCCTTTAGCCTAGATAGGAATCAATCATGCCGATCTGATTGATTGTTGACAAGTCTGCTGGTGCTGATGCTGGTGCTGGGGATAAAAGCTCTGCTGTATTTATTGCCTGTTCTCTTTATTCCACACCCAATTTTCTCCTTATTAGAATACGAAGCAGCAGCTATGAATGGTGTTGCGAGTTTCTAAAGAACATACCCGTATGCAATATGAGCTGTGGAGTTTCTTCCTTTTCTTCCCAAAAGTCCCCGAGCATTATTCGACGAAAACCTTGGAAATTACAAATCTATGGGTTGCTTCCACCTTTCTGATTTCTAAAAGTTATTTTCAGAGCAGTCGATGAAGTCAGCAAAGGTTCCTAGACGATGATGTAGCGGACGTTTGTCAAAACGAACTCAGACTGTGTCGATGAGCCGGCGGCTTTCTCTGTAGGAAAATGTCTTTGCGTATGAGTTGCACGCACACGGATATATAAATCACTTCGTGCCGTGTGTTCCTTACCCTTATCTCACATTCCTATTTCCTTAATTTCTAAAAGGACGAAGCACAAAATTCATGTCCTCTTTCCCTAAAACAAAACAGAGAACCGCGATAATAGTTCGGCTCTTTCTCTAAAATATACCAGTTTTTAATAGTATGTCCTCTCTTTCTCGGCTATTAAAAATTATTCCAAAAAGAACCAAACGGGTTAGATGTGGAGAGGACTGGAAAATAGAAATCCAAGCCAGAGTCTTTCCATGTTCGTGCGTGGCGCGCTCCGAAACTCTTAAATCAGAATCCCATGGGGTCTTTAAACTAAAAGTGTACGGAAGAGGGATAATGTTCACTCTACACCCTCTTTGCCCCAAATTTCAGGCTGCTCTGGCAGACAGCGGGCACGTGCCGGGGTGTGGATATATAAATCCTCTCTTCGTGTGCATCTTTACTCTTTCTATTACTTCACACACTTTTTATGCGTTAAGAAACTCTCGACACCCTCAATTTATGTGTATTTTTGTCTTTACCAAAACATGCAGTCGTTTTCAGGATGTCTGCTCTTGTGCTCTTAAAAAACACGTCATTAAAAAAACTTCAAGACCACTGCTCTTTGAGTTCAAATCACATGCTATTACCAGTATGGCGCGTCCGTTTCTCGAGGCGTTGGTCTATGAGTTGTGTATATAAATATGACTTATCGGTTCTCCTTCTTGCCTGCCTTACTCCTTTTCTCTCCTGCTATTAAAACTTACAACTCCCTCGCTAATGGTGTCTTTGTAAAAAAAGCGGACATTAAGTGGATGTTCTCCTGCTTCTTCCTCTCTTTTTCCTCCTCTTTTCCTGAAAATCATCTTGCAAATCCAGAATGACATGTTCTGAGAAATCTTCAGTCCTCTTTACTCACGCGGTTCTAAAATGGTATCGATCTACATTACATGCTGAGAACTTCTGCTCTTCCGTGGGTTTGAAAATTTACATTCTCTATCCCTATGAAATCTTCCAGTCTATCTAAACCCATAAAATCT